CGAAGGTAACTTGGGAGATCTTGACTACAAATATAGATTGTGGGGACATTGTAAAAGTTTCATTACTTTACCTAGAGAAATAAAAAAAGCTGCAATTTTTGGACCCCCGACAATTTTTCCCCAGCAAAATGTTGTTCATAGTTTTTCCGCCAACATGTAGAGGTTTACTGTCGCCCTAGCTTAACCTTGTAGACGCTTTTGAATTAAAACATTTTAATGGTATAATGAAATGAATTGCTATAAAGAAAAACTATATAAATGCCACGTCCGTCACAATTATGAGCTACAACCATAATCTTTATAGTAACGTTTAACGACCGTCTGATGATAACAAAGTGCAAAACAGTACAGTTTGCGCAATGATTCTCGCCTTTAGAACAATGAATCAAAGCGAACACTTACTTTCAAGCATGGTAAGTATTCATAATTAGACAAGAGCTAGCGCTTTAATCTACTAAATATTTAATCTTAGAATTTTTGATAAATACTAAGAATAGGTTTTACATTGAACATAACTAGGCGTTCTAGCATCGTAATGTCGATTTACGATAGACTTGAAACGTCGCTGTGGAATATAAGAGCTGTTTGTCAGGTTGATCCTGCAAACCACCATTTTCCTATTCAATTTCTACACTACGAATTACAGTAACAAAATCTTCTACCCATTACATTTACTAATTATAGAATACAGTATCAACTTTTATTGCACAGTATCACACGCTGCACTACGTTACAATTAAAAAGCCGTCCTCAAATTTTTTTTCTAAAAATTAAATCTAGTTTGTTTCCACATTCTAAGCAAAATTATCAGCATATCTATGCGGTTAATTCAATTCAAGAGAATGAATTTGAATGCCTTTCGAAAGCTTAGAAGTAATATAATATTTTGTTATTTTCTCCTTGGGTTTTTACCCAAATTATCCATTTATCACCTCTTTGAACTTCACTGCATTCATAGCGCAGCAGTGCTGGGTGGTACACGCAAAAAACTTGCAAATCAAATTCAGTTAAAAACTCAAAAATAAAATAGGTCATTGTCAAACACGATCGAAAATCGTATATGGCTTCAATGCGAGACTTCATGATGTAATAAAAGAATTTAAGTTTAAATTAAATGTGTCTCGATCTCTGGAATAAAGATTAAAAGGACTTCGACCTATGATATCATATGTCGTATATTAAGCAGTTTATATTAGTTTTAGAGAAGAACTAAAAAAAATATTCTTGAAAGTACATGCGAACGCAGGCTTCAAATCAGCTTAAAGAAGGAGGGTCATGAAAACACACACACATGGTCATATGCCAAAGAT